TGTTTCTCTGTCTTTTGTCAGATTGTTGTGATTATTCCCTTGCTCTGACTGTCATAGTTAGTATTGCTTACCAGTGCTCGTAGCTGTCTGTATATTTTCCTGCACCTCTCGGTGCGTTCAGAAACCCGTGGGCTCCCTTCGGCATCCGCCTACCCTGGGACTCGGCGGTCTCGTTGTTGGGTTGCTCAGTCTCTCGCTTGGATTAGCGAGCTGCCCTGCCGGCTTCGTCTCCACTGCTGCTGCTGCTATCTACCCATCTGTGTGGTAGGGGATTCCACGTCTACACGAACTGTCCGCGGAGGCGCTCATTGCCCGTTGTGATCAATTTCTGTTCAATAAAGCCTCTGTTGTACCCGCACCTGAATCCAGCCTATTTCCTGACACCCTCTGGGGACATTTGGCCAGGGGTGTTTTTACACAGACAAGGTTTGAGAAGAAAAAAATCATTATGAAAATCTAATTATATTTTCCTTTTTATATTCATTATTTCCTTATTGGTTATTTTGGGAAAATCCCAGGTATTTTGAGCAGTAGGATTATAAAAAATAAGGTTTGAGAAGAAAAAAATCATTATGAAAATCTAATTATATTTTCCTTTTTATATTCATTATTTCCTTATTGGTTATTTTGGGAAAATCCCAGGTATTTTGAGCAGTAGGATTATAAAAAATATATGCTAATATAAAATTAAATGATATAAGTAGCCTATATAAAACTGCAAAATAAACATTCATCTATCTGTACTTTTTACTTAAGTACATAAAAAAATCAATTACTTTTTTACTTTCACTCGAGTAAAATTTAAAACTGAGTACTTTTACTTTTACTGGAGTAATATTTTATTATACGGATCTGTACTTTTACTCAAGTACTTGATTTGTGTACTTCGTCCACCACTGCCAGTAGATGGAGGTATGCATCTTCAAGTGGGTTTGCCAACCGAAATTAAAAGGAAAAGAAGAAGCTCAAAATGTGTGTGACACTCAAGAACTAAGGACTGTTCAAGCACATTTCCAATATTTGATGCCGACTTTTGTAACAAATCACTTGAAAGTCATTTATTTAATGTTTATTTGTACCTGCTGACAAACTATATGAGATTTTTTTACATTTAAAACCCCTGCCACTGAGAAAGTCTCTGCACATCCCTGTATACATTTGATAAATTTTAATTACTTTTATGCACTTGAAGTGTACACCAAGCACTAGGAAAATGCAAGCATCAGATCAGAACTTGGTATCAGCAGATACTCAGGATTCAGTGTCTTGGATTGGATCAGGGCACAAAACACTTGATCAGATCCTTAATTTTATGTTTGAAAGGTAATACTTTAGATTAAGGAAGACTATTCAACTAATTGCTTATTAGCATGCATATTAATAGCATATTGGCTGTTTATTAGTACTTATAAAGCACATATTAATGACTACCCAGCAAGCAATAGCCGTCATTTCAACGTCTCGGTTAAGTATAGACCCGATATAGTCCGGCTATGTGTAACCCACTTCTAGCCCA